AAAAAAAAAAAAAAAGACGAACATGGTGATGCTCATGAGTGCTGCTGAGAGGCCAAGGGAGGTGGCCTGGACCTACGGGAGGGCTCGCTGAGGTTGGATGAGTGGAGTCAGAGGCCTGGGGGGACCGGGCTGAGGTAGTAACTACAGACATTCACAAAGTGGCTGCCCTGAAGAGGGGCAGAGCTGGCCCCACCTTGCCCCAAACTTCCAGGAGCTGGGCTCCAGCCTGAGCATTTCTGCAAAGGCAGACTGTGCCTTGGTACATTCATGGTGTGGATAAGCCTGTGTGAGTAGCACCCAGGACATTGTCCCCGCCCCAGAAGCCCCCTTCGTATCCCCTTCCAGTCCTCCTTCCCAGGATAATCACTGTCCTGACTGCTAACACCGTAAGTTAGTTCTGCCCGCTTTTGAGGGGTTTTTTGTTTTTTCTGAGACGGAGTCTTGCTCTGTGGCCCAGGCTGGAGTGCAGTGGCAGTATATTGGCTCACAGCAACCTCCGCCTCCTGGGTTCAAGTGATTCTCCTGCCTCAGCCTCCTGAGTAGCTGGGATTACAGGTGTACACCACCACACAGGCTGATTTTTTTTTTATTTTTAGTAGAGACGGGGTTTCACCATGATGGTCAGGCTGATCTTGAACTCCTGACCTCATGATCTGCCTCCCTCAGCCTCCCAAGGTGCTGGGATTACAGGTGTGAGCCACTGCATGCCTGGCCTTTATTTATTTATTTATTTTTGAAATGGAGTCTCTGTTGCCCAGGCTGGATTCCAATGACGCAATCTCAGGTCACTGCAATCGCCACCTCCTGAGCACACGTGATCCTCCTGCCTCAGCCTCCCACGTAGCTGGGATTACAGGCGCCCACCACTGTGCTTGGCTAATTTTTGTATTTTTTTTTCCAAGACAGGGTCTTGCTCTGTCTCCCAGGCTGGGGTGCAGCGGCAGAATCTCAGCTCACTGCAACCTCTGCCTCCCGGGTTCAAGCAATTCTGTCTCAGCCTCCCGAGTAGCTGGGATTATAGGCATATGCCACCATGCCCAGCTAATTTTTGTATTTTTAGTAGAGACAGGGTTTCACCATGTTGGCCAGGCTGGTCTTGAACTCCTGACCTTGTGATCTGCCCACCTCTGCCTCCCAAAGTGCTGGGATTACAGGTGTGAGCCACCGCACCCGGCCTCATTTCTGTATTTTTAGTAGAGACAGGGTCTCACCATGTTGGCCACGCTGGTTTCAAACTCTGGACCTGAAGTGATGTGCCTGCCTCAGCCTCCCAAGGTGTTGGATTTACAGGCAAGAACCACTGCATCTGGCCGCTTTTGAGGCTTTATAAGTGGAATCCCATAGTATCTGAACTAGAATACCTCGAATGCCTATGGAGTCCAGGGTAGACAGGGATTCACCAAAACTGTGCCAAAGAGTCGAGTGAGTTTAACCTCTCAGTGTCATGTGAAATTAATCACCTAAAGATGACTTGGCAGTTTGGGGCTAACATGGCTGATGGTGCACACTCATTTTCTATCTTCCCCAAACACGCTGAGACTCTAGTAAAGGGATTAAAATGACAAGAAGAAGGCCCCTCTGGGCTGAGGACAGGAAAGGATAGCACCACGCTTCTGGAAGCCGGAGAGCACGTGAACAAGTGGTCAGCGATTTAGCAGACCTGAGAAACCTGAGTTGGAAACTGACGGTGGGACAAGCTGAGGACACGCAGGTTCGCGCCACAGTGTCCCTTGGCAGGTTTAGGAACTGGCAGCCCTTTTGCCTCTGCCACAGGGAGGGTGGGACAAAATAGGACAGATGACAGCCAAGATCCCTGCCACTCAGCAACCGGTCCTCTCCTGCTGCAGCCGAAGTCTGAGGGGTTAGTTCTGAGAGGCCAGTCGACAACTGCACTGAAACCAGAAAACGCAGTGTGTCTACAGATGCTCCACAGAGAGGCCTCCCGGGAAGGACTGGAAAGGAAGGGACTGAACGCTGACCTTGGGGCACTCCATAAAAGCAAGCACCGCGTGCCTGTAATCCCAGCTACTCAGGAGGCTGAGGCAGGAGAATTGCCTGAACCCAGGAGGCGGAGGTTGCGGTGAGCCGAGATCGCGCCATTGCACTCCAGCCTGGGTAACAAGAG